TGTGTGTATTTTTGAATTGTATATAATTTCTAGTTCCTACTAACCTCTGTCTTACGTGCACCTATGTATATTACTATGGGTCCACAAAAATTCTGGAGAATACCGCCGAAAACCAGTTTGTCCACAATGTCAAGTGTCAAGGTATACGCCTATGCGCAAAATTGTGTTCTTCCACCATTGGGAGTATATATTATGTACTTTACATGGTTGCGAGATAATAAAAAATAAAATAAAATTGCATGTACGCAAACATTGCAATTGTCACCTCATAGCAGTATAGTAATAATAATAATGCCGAGAATAATAAAAAATATGATAATAACCCAAACCGATCTCTCGCGGATGGTAATGTGTTATTATAATAAATGATAGGTACTTTAAAACCAACTGTGAAATCGAATTTATCGTTTGAATATGGAAATCCAATTTCCAAGGTTGAGCTAAATAGATTTTATCCATGGCTAAATCATCTACGTGGAATTCCACAAACTCTATCAGGTAGAGCTGAATATTCTGATAATTATTTTAATATTACATACCTACCCATTATACCCATCGACAAAATTCATGGTTTGCTGTTTGGTGACCTTTCCAATTGACCAATAACATAATAATATATAACTAGCTAAACAAAAATTTTAATTTTCTATGCACAATACTTATATGTAGAAACCAGTTGGTATGTAACTTATTGATTACAGTAAAAACAAACAGTCAAATATTAGTGATGTATTAGAAGATGTTTACTATAAATTAACAACTAAATAGGTTACAGAAAACATAATTTACTTTGTATTTTGTTTTTGTCGTTAATCAGCCCTTATTCGTTTGTTTTGAAACAAAAATGGTTTGTTAATATTAGGAACCGATTATAATTTTTTTTTTTTAATATTATCTAATAATCTATTATACATTATTATGTATGGACATTGTACCTAACCTACAACTGTTGTTAAAAAATATTGATAACTTAAATTTTCTATTTCTATTTCTGGTTCTATTTCTTGTTAATTTCTGTGATATTCTTTGCTTGTCTGATGAGAAAATGAACAAATCTCGTTTTCATTCGATTTGCATATAGCACTTCTATTGAAAAATTACAACTTGGCATCCTTCAAATCTATAAGTTATAACTTATAAGTGATACACACCTACCTATATAATATCTGTTTAGAAGGTATAGCATTTTATCTCGTTTAACTTTCAATATTCATTATCGTATATGTTTTAAAATGTGTTTGTCATAATATTTACACATTGAATTACGGTACAAATAATTGTCAGTTTATTGTGACATAGTTTTAAGAGAATGTCAGCGACTCAGCGCACTGTTGGTTTTTCTCTCTGACCCATGGCAACATAGACAAAATGCATTCACGCAAAATAATTTTAATAATTTTTTTATACTTTTGTGTAATCTTAGAGTAAAATTACCTATTACAAAAATTATAGAGAACAACATTTATGAGAGTATGACATAATAATTTATCTAAATATTGTTTCAAAAACAATTTAAACGTAATTTATATTTACAATAATTTTTTTTATTTTTGAAAGTCGAATAGAAAGTAAAATATTAAAAAAATATAATACCGATATATCAAACCCGCAAAAATCTTATCCTGTATCATTTTTGTAATTGGCGATTTTACTCTAAGATTACTCAAAAACCATAAAAATGGTTTTAAGTGGAAGCGTTGAAGCGTTTTATCTATGTTGCGTGTGGGGCTGAGAGAGAAAACAAATATTGCGCCGAACACATATAGAATACTTACGAAACAAATGTTGGTGAGTGCATTTCAAATTGTTTCACTAGTGTAACTACTATCTGATAATCTAAAATTTATATTTTTATCAAACTACTTTGTACCTATTGTAATTATTAGGTTCTTATTCAATATTTAACCATGGTAAAATATAACATTCTAGTACAACTCTGATAAGCATAACTATATCGATGGGTAAATATTAAATATATTTATATTTATATTTGTTTATATTTATTAAATATTCAATTTATAAATTATCTGTTTTTTATTGTTGAAATTATAATATAATCTGTGTGAATGTTTTGAGTTTTAATACAAACTAATTAAAATATTCAGTTTTCATGAATCGATGTATTATAATTTATAGATGGTACTATTTGAAACACGTACTTAAATTAATACAAATTTACACAATAAGATAACTAAGGTATATTATATGTTTTGATAATACATATATATACATTATGGCACCAATGATATAATATAGTAACACAATAGCTATGAATAGATTTATTTCTAATAAATGTATAGGTACACACTACTTACTAACATGACTTGGCAGTATTCAAAATTTACCGCACATTAATCATGACTTCCATTTTCAAAATGTTAATGCTCTCATATTCCCAGTTATATTAGGTACTCGACAAATTAGTAATTAAAGTAAAATAATTATAATGTCTATGATGTGTGTTTGATCAATAATCCCAGACAATTTTTCATGAATCATGGTGATATAATTCATGCTTGTACTTACGACTTACTGTAATTATTTAGATACAAACATCAACTATAATATTATATATTCGAATGTAGGTACATTAATAAATAGTATGACGGAACACTTTCACTTGCGATAAATCGGTATATTAAACATATAATATCACGTGGAATCTATTTTGATGCTAATTTAAAGTTTTTTTTATATATCAATAAATTATTTAAATAATTTTGGTTTTTATTACACATTTACCGATTGGCAGGCTCGCAATGAACTGAATTAACGCAATATTAATGCATGGTAGATACATATACATGATGTAGACACCTGTTTGAAACATATACAATAATATACAAAGGTGCCAATTACCTAAATAATAATATTATTATTATATAGTAGGTATTTAATAATGTCTACTATTATTTTATTAGCTATTATTCCTTATTAAGTACAATATTAATTGTTTAAAATTTTTTTGAATGTTTGGCTGAACAATTGAGATTATCTACACGATGCATACTTTTTAGCGGTCGATTCCATGTAAAGGAATTAATATTCAACATAATTATAGTATCTATAATTACAATAATTGTATATGTCCACAAAACCCATATAAATTATATAAAATAATAAAATTGATAGTTCCTTGTGAATATATAGGTATTTCAACATAACACGAATATTTATTATTTACGAACATTCAGAAATTATATTATAGGTTTTTAGTATTTTCCTATACAATAACAATTTCAATATAATTCAATAGCAATATTTCATCACGATAATACGTCAATAACTATTGTAGTTTTAAATTTTAAGTAGGTATAAGTACAATGGCAAGTGTAATGTTTTTAGTGTTATACAAGACGAGTGCTTGGTAATTGTATAACTTTTATAAAACGAAATAAATAAAATCCGAAATAGTTAATGTAATATAGGTACCTACTAATATATTGATAAGTTATTTGTTTTTCCAATTTAATGTTTTGGCTTTCACTGTCCTGCCCGAATGTTTTTATTTAAAATGTTTTATCAGGGTGTTAATTTTGTTTTTATAAGAAATGTAAATATTAATTAATTAATTATAGTCTATAATTAATTTACTCGGAGCAATCAGTCCTAAAATCTAATTTTTTTTCCTTATTTAAGGCTTGAACATCTAAGTTCATTAGCCGAAAGGTTACTTTTTAGTCAGTTATTACTGTGGGGGAGGGTACGGTTTGGAACACGTGTTTGGCGAGGATTTGTCACTAAAAACCAGGGTGGTTCTCCATTCGGACACTAGTGACGCCGATGAATGCTTGGCCTCAGAGCACGTTAGTGACTAAGGCCAACCACAATGTCTTCTAAAATCTAATTACAAGTATAGAATTAACATATTATAATAAATATGAATATCGAAGTTTATACATAATTAACATATCCTAAATAATTAATTTATCAATTTATGGCAATAACTGTGTACTCAATTTGAATTTTTATATCTTAAATGTAATTGAATTCTTATATCAATATTAATAAGTTTTTAATTTTTTTTTGATTGCTTCAATAATATGATATTTTTATTTAAATTACTATATTTTTGTTCTAACTTTTTACAAAGGTCTAGTTCAACATTTAATTTTTTATAATTTAAAGTAAATTTTTGGATAAAACAATTTAATTTTTATGACTTTAAAAAATATAACTAAATTTAGTTTAGATGATAATTTAAAATATTGCAGGATACTTGTAATAAAAGGTAGGTATATAATAAATATTTAAAAGGTTAGTTAGTCTGTACAGTAACATAGCCTGCAGTTATACTATTCTGTTTACCAAAATGTTTATACTTTAAACCTTTTAAGTAATAAATTAAACCCTATCTTGTATTATTTATTTGAGTATACCATTGCAATATTATAACTATTTACTTATTATTTTATTGAATGATTAGTTTATATAATACTATGTATCAATTGTTTTTAAACTATTATACTTTCAGTGTAAATTTATGAGTTATGATTTTCGTGATAGTTTAGATAACTAGTACATATTTTTTTAAACTCTCAATATGTTTAACATATTTTTTGATTCTTATAGATATAATACTTATAGTCATTAATAATTCAGTAAATTTTAGTTGCTTATCACGTAAAAAATAAATATCCTCATAAATAAACATTATTAAATAGATTTTATAATTATTTCAGACTGCAAGATCTAGTGACAGTGGAGCCGACTTGTTTTTCACTTGGTGGGGCAAAGTATAACAATTATATACCACCACCCACCACCCACATGATTATAGTGTAAATTCAACTATCACAAAGCAAACACTGAGGCGAACTACCCCATAAAAATACGCGTTCGGCGCCACTGCTAGTGTACTAGCACTAGAGCTATTAGTACCATTGCTCGTGGCTATTATTAATTTAATCACTGAAAATCCCCTTATTAAAGTTGCTGTATTATAAATTCTTAGTGCTTACTGCTTAGATCTAAGAGTCCATAAGAAAGTTCTTGATGCCATGACACTCTATAAGGAGTATGCTCATGAATGTGCCAAGGTATTATTAATGATTTGGACGGAAACATTGGCATATTATAGAGATAATTTGACACTAAAAACAGCTATTAAGTCGTTTGTAAATGCTGTTCTAAGTTATGGACCAGGACAAGAAAGTTTAAAATTCAGATTGCATTTGAGATATGAATTTCTACAGTTGGGGTTTAAGAATATTATTAACAAGTTAAGAGAACATGTGAATCAGACATGTAATTCTTTGAGATGGTTTGTAATGAAAATGAAAATGAATTAGCAAGACAATTTTAACAGGTTGTGAACTTACCAAACATGTTTTATTTGTATTTTAATTACAGGATACAGTACATACTAGAAGCACTCTTCTGTGTTTGGCTTACTACGCAGAAAATTAAGTTGTTCTCCAATATATCTTCACTTCTCACTTCTTTACACTTTTTCAGAATTTTTTTATTTTTATTAGTCAAACATAATTTTAATATTATAGTCGTGTATGAAATAAACTTTTCACAGCACTGGTTTTTGTTTGGCCGAATTGTACAAAAGATTGGTAAATTTCAAACTGATGCTGGTACTGATAACGGAGTATAACCAATTAGTATTAATATTAAAGATAATATTAAACTGTAAGTAATTAAGAAAATAGTAAATAGAAATAATTCGATTTAAGTTACTATGTTGGTTTAATAAGATTCATGAATTTTGTATATACTTTTGGGAGATATGGAAGCTAGTATTTCAAGGTTTGAAGAACGTTTGGAAAAACAAATATATATTTACTTGGAAACTAAGCAAAAGATATCTGAACTCGAAGATACTTCAAGTGAATTACATCACAGGATAACTTGTGAGCAAAAGGAGAGGAGAAAGCTAGAAGCAATATTTACTAATGGAAGATTACCAGATGAGGCTAAAATTAATTTTAGCTCGCCTTCTATTCCTATTCTTCAGCCACCATCACAACCAATGACTAAAAGTTGTGTTTCGATTCCACATCCAGCACCAACACTAAAAATCTTTCAATTAAATCTTCCACAGTCACCTGGTTGTCTCCCTCAATTAGTAGGCAAACAAAGATCTGTTGAAATTCCAAAACCATTTACTCCACTGAGATCCTTCAACTGATCTCTAAGTAACCAGAAAATAAATTGGCTGACATTGTATGAGCTGATATTGATGAAGGAAAACGTATTCATCTCACATGATAAATTGTCAGTTGTTAGCATAATTCCAAGTGATACACAACATTCTTTTATATAATAATATATAAGATATAAAAGTTATTAAAAGTATCCATTCTAATATTATTTATGGTAACCTGGAGCACCATATTCTAAACAAGTTTGCCTAGTACAATTATTATGTTTACTTTTTCTTGTTTTCTTAAATCTAGTATTATTGCTCTTTTTTAGCAAGTAAAACAGAAACACGGGTATTTTCTTTTTCGAGTTTTTCAGTTTATATTAAGCAGCATCAAGTTCTACTTCTTTAACTAAACTGAAACAAAACAATTATGCACAAATAAATAAATAAAAGCTTTTTTAGACTACTTAATTAGAGACTACTTTTTTAGACTACTGAATTATATCTTTAACACTTATACTAATTGGAGGTACATTGTTATCAATACGACAGCACCAGCCTTAGTTTGAAGAGTTATATGTTGTACTATTCGGTAAAACAAAAGGCAGTGTTTGAGCTTCCATACTCAACTACATAATTAATGACAATAATATTATAACAAATTAGCTTAGCAACGATTATTAATTGATTACTTATGGGGCAATAATAAAAAAATGTAATAATAATATTATTACCTATATGTTCCTTCAATTTTTAATATTATATAATGCATGAATATTGTAAAATGTATTGTAATTTGTAACGTCCAATGGCCATAAACGCCGAGGATAGTATGTTTAATAATAAAAAAAATTTAATCCGTATAAAACTTAATTTACGAATTTTAAGACTTAAGACAAACATTTTAATTTTTAAACAATTCTAAAATTTGAAGAAAAAAAATTTAATTTTCACTCTACCATAAAATAATTCATAGTAATTCATAGTATATAAGTACAAATATTTTGATAGGTAATTTTATTTTTAAATGTTTAACTCAAATTTGTTTTTGTTTTTCATGAAGTTATTAAGAACTTTTTATGCACACAAGTAGGAATTAATTTTTCACTATCAATCACGGCTATCCATTAGAACTAGATACCTAACTGTGCTCTAAACTCACAAATGTTTATACATTAAACCCAAATCTGCCTGTTTGTAACCTTTCAGAAATTAAATATGATACCTATCACATAAATGTTTTCTTTATTTCTTTATGACCAACGTCTTTGAATCTAGTGTACAAGAGGAAATGTATTACCAGGATTGGAGAAGTTGAAGGCATAATAAAAATGTTGATGCAAGATTTACTTGAAGTAGACGTTAAAGAAAACTATTAGAAATTGTGTTAGAACTCAGAAACTATATTATGAACAGGGAGACGGAATGGCCGAGCGGACTAAGGCATCTGTTGTGACTCGCGCCGACGCTGGTTCGATCCCGGCTACGGGTGGCATTTTTCTTCGAACACTCACTCCACCCGGGCTTGTCAGATACCTACGATGGCCCACTTAAAAATGCTGCAAAACACTCAAGTGTAAAAACTCACTGTTCCAAACCCTACTACCACCACAATACAACCCTACAGCTAATGGTCATAGATGTCGAGCTTAAGGATCAATAAAAAAAAAAAAAAATATTATTAACAAAGGAGCAATAGACTATGCACGGGGTTTCCGTTTATCATCTCTAAACGGACTTACAGAAACAGAAGTTCAGTAAGACCAGCTGACTGTGAGGCTTTGGCTCGCTAATCACGTCTTCCACAAGACCATGGAATAATAGTATGTTCTATGACAAGACTCGCTGCTCGTCGGTTACCCATGCGACGGTTGGCACCATCAATTGTACCAACCACCGACCATAGTACCGTTCCGCGGTCCGTCATGGCTTGGCGTCCTCTTCGGCGAGGTGCGATCTTCGTCTGCGGACAAGACGCAGCGGAGTCGGCAAAAGGCCCACCATGAATCATGATTTAATAATTTATCATGCGGTCTCTGCTTGTCGTCCTCTCGAAAGGCAACACGTCCGTACTCACGCTGTGTTTTCACGCGATAAACTATGCGCTCGACTCGATGCACCCGAGATGTTCACTGCAAAGTGCCACACTGACACAATTTACGGCCCTGCTACGTACTACGACCGACCGACTGACATTCTCACGTTCTACACACAAAACGCGTAACGCCACTCCGAGCCGACTATTGAACTATAGGCTTGTAGAATAGTTAAAAGTAATATAACATATAGATAAATTATTAGATTTTTTGATTCTCCTATAAGCTATAGATAAGCAGTTGGTTAAATATGTAGCAGTTGTCGTTTTTTATATCTTTGAGTATCTACAATTTTATTTATAGAAGAAACACATACCACGCGTGTGGTTGAAATTGTTAATGTGCATTACATTAAGTTGATTCGGGAGTTAGGATATAAAAGTATAAAAGTATAACCTATAAAAGTATAAACTACTGTTAAATAAGTATTAGGAAAATGTGCAATAATTATTTAATATAATTCACGGAATCTCTTAAACACATTAACGAGCTCATATTATTAACATAATAACCGACGATATAAAATATTCTCAATTTGAATTATGAATGTAACAACTAACAAGGATGATGATAAATAATAACAATATTATACTACTTAAAACACGTTTTAGGGATTTTCAGGAATTCGTCTCGCTAATGGGTCACGACAGTAATAATAATAATATAACGATGGTAATAATATAACAAATAAAAAAACGTATTCTTCGACTATTGTCTTCTCCAAACGAAACCGATAAAAAAAAAAATGGTCGTTGGCCGAGGACTATACGACATTGCGTGTGTATATACACCTACCCGCTACAACATACCTATGTATATAATTTATATATTATAATATATGTATATACGACGTGAGACATTATTGTACGAGATCCAGCCTGCCCGAGACAATGAATAAATTGCATGTGCACTGGTTGCATATTATTATTATTACTATGCAGACGTTTGAGGTTTTTTTCTCCCTATAAAATAATATATCCTCTGGATGGATCTGCCCACGGCCGCCGACGCAGCGGCCACGACTGCTCGACGGACGTGAGCGAGATGAAGAAAGAACCGAGGCGACCACCCGCGGCTATACCTATAATAATTATTATAAGATTATTATTATTTGGGTACATTGTCACCATTTTCGTCACTATCACTATACCAACCATTGTTTACCGGATACAAATAATAATGTATATTATATTATTATAATATAATATAATTCTTAGTCTCTTGGGAATGGGTATGCGTGGAATCATGACGCACGCATCGCAGATATTATTATGTCTAAATTGCATATAGACTAAGACCGAACGTGATTTGACCGACTATTCACCACTATAATTTACACTTAATACCACTTGATTATTGCGCATTATGTGCAGGCTGAATGAATATAGGAGAGAATTTCGACTAAAACCGATAGCTTACAGAGCTTAAGCTTTCAACAATTAACGGGGAAACTACTATGATATATATATATATATATATATATATATGATTTTGGTCGTTAAAAGCTTATATCACAAAGAATATTATATAAGCATATGCATGTATATATTTTATACAAAATACAAAAATAAAAATATGGCACTCAAATTTTGGAAAGATTGATAGATTTGGTAGGCAGTTCGCTAATTTGTTTATTGAACGTTATACGGCTGTTATTATTATCACAACATTATATTTTGTGTCAAACCAAAGACTGAAAGACAGTCAAAATATGACGTATTGCTTGGTAAACTAGTAGTGATATACATTTTCGAAAATTAATAAAATAAATTTTAAGTCATATTGAACGTTCGTGCGATGTTTAATATGTCGAAGGGGACGCATTTTAAACGGTTTCATAATCAGTTAAGGGGCCTGAGTTCCATCACTTGCTCTGCTTTTTGGCTGTCCACCCACTACATACCAAACTGTATATTATAGACGTTCGTGCGCTCGTTATTTATGACTATTTCATTAAAATAGCTTATACTATATTATAGTATATTATAATATACCTATATAGGTACCAAACGTAATCCAAACCGGATCTACAATCAGTGATCAGATCTGCGGCAAAGAACGGTTTGGTCCTGAGAGTATAAAAACAAACGATGTACAAGAATTAGTAGTGGCATCCTACCTATATTATAATATTGTGCGTGCGTGGTTAATCTGATGTTTCGTATGTAATATGGTTCAATGGCCATCTTCAGAGTTGTGTGTTCACTATATGCCGCGAGGCTGCAGGCGTCATATTATGTGTCTCGTACGACTGCGAACGACAGACCAAATAAAACTTCGGGCCGAGGATAACTGCTGCAGCTATAGGTATAGTCATAACGCTGCTTATTTATCCACGCGGTGCTCGTAAAAATGAAATAAACAATAATCTGAAAATAGTCAAACAACAACAACAACAACAACACGTTAAGTAAAAGAGGATTGCTATTAAGCAACGCCTACTAAAAATATCACGAAAATAATTCATCATTAATTGTGCATAATCTGTTCTACACTGACAGGAATGGCATTTTTGATGGTTTTGTTGTCTTATTATGTCACGACGACTGCAGTTAATTAAATACCTAGTTTTAAACACACGGCGATGATAATTAAAATAGTTAATTAAGATATGAGTTGAATACGTTTAAATTACTAACAATTATTTGTACCTGCCCAATGTGCGCCGATTACATCCGGTCGAGTGGTTTTCAGGATGCGTAATACGGAAACTCCGTAAACTTCAATTATTTACGTGTAGATGGAAATAAAGTTTTTGTCACGCCTGCACCGAAAGTTTGGTTTTCGACCACGGTTGAAGCGTTCGAAAGCGTCCTTTTTCCGTCCAGCGGGCGGTAAAGTGGAAATCCCCAAAAGTGCCGGGCGGAAAAGAGGAAATCCCCAAAAGTGCCGGGCGGAAAAGAGGAAATCCCCAAAAGTGCCGGGCGGAAAAGAGGAAATCCCCAAAAGTGCCGGCCGCCGGGCGCGTATCCCCTGCACAACCAGAAAGTAAAATGTATACCTACCACGGTTCTTACAAAACATAAACTTTTGGTTACATCTTAAATGTATAGTATAACCTCCTTGCATGACGCATAGATCCCTGCATAACCTTTTCCATGAACGCAGGGGCGTGACAAAAAATAGTATGTGTGGCTCGCGCGGGAAGGCCATTTCAGTCTTGTGCGAAATGCGGCACTCGCCTACGGCTCGTGCCGCACACGACGCCCGCGACTGAAATGGCTTACTTCCCGCCCTTGCCACACAATATACTATTTCCGTATAGTGGCTCTATCATATATGATTTTGATACTATCGCGAATATTTGTATAAGTTTAGTTGAATAATACAATATCATTAACTTTTACAGATAATAATATGTGACAAGAATACTAGCAAATAATTTTGCATAGTTTAATTTTACAGTTTTTGCCTAGATGGGATATTGGGATAACAGTTAGTTAGGTACCTATAATATGCAATATTATACTCAACTCGTAGAAATGATTTTAAATGAATAAATAAACTTTTCACTCCATGCTGAACTAGTGAATAAAAAATACTAGATAAATACCTTTTACTTATCTACACAATTTTGAATACATAAATTGAGGAAATAATGTCGAAGGTGTAACATTATAGCATAATGAAATTTATTTGTGAATGACATTATTTATGGACAATCGTATTATTCGTACATAATACTGTTAAGTAGAAAAAAAGGTCGTAACGTGTAATAATCGCAGAATACATTTTACCTATAAGTGATTAAGTCGCTTTAAACATTTAAATTCAAGGTTTGAATAAGGATTTGTATTTTCTAATGAATTTATATTATAATATTCTATGGTAATATTATCATTAATGGTAATGTTTTATAATATCCATGGGAAACAAATGTATACCAATAAATATTATTCAAATAATTTTTTTTCATAGCGTTTTAAACAACTTGTTGAATACTAAAATAATACTCAGTTAATATACCACGAATTCTAGTTTAGAGCCAACACTAAAGTTGATTTTATAAATATAAAATAATACACAATATTTTGTAATTTCAAATTAACTATTTATTTTTGTAATTCATCACACGATGTTTGATCCTAATCTTTTTTCATTAAATTCGTAACACTAATCAGGTCTACAGAGACTATAATGACGAATTTCCAATTATCATCTTATTTATAATAATTTGCAAGAAAATTACAGGTATAGCTGTTTCGTGCGTTTTGACGAAACATTGGTAATTTAAAGCCATAAGTGAGATATTAAAATAATGACTATGGATAAAGTAAGTAGATACGAGGTACGGGTACCTATTATAGGTATGTGTGAATTTAATTTTTCTACATTTTTTTCAAAACAGAAATAATTTATTTACACAAATTAACTGTTAAGTGTTGTGATAGTATTATGTATTCATGTCTAGATAATACGAAACTAAAGCACGTACATCTTATACATAATAATGGGCGTAGTCGTTGGCCATTGCCAAGTTTTGAAGAACTACACATACCTAATATTGTTTCGTTCATCATCATTTTTGTAACCGGTGGTGCATTTTAGATGTTCGTTGTACTGTAACGCCCACACTAATTTTCCCGGATAAAATTTGTAAAGTTGCTTAAGTAAAAACTCACCAACGTGGATTTAATCTCATAGGATTGGTGAGGAGTGAGTGGAACCTACGTGAATATAATGATCAACTGGTAGTGGTAATACAAATCGTACACATAATAATATGAACAAAAATAATTATATATAATAATATTAGTACCTAACCTACCTAATCAATTATAGGTACATGCTGTGCGTCACTCCGATAACAAATTTGGCTTCTGACATATTATTTTGTTATTGGCATTGCTTGTATTATCATTGTTGTGAGCGCTGACATTACACACGTTTATACATAATAATTATAATAATATGT